AGAGAACACTAGAGAAGAGTGCTCACGTTATTAGACTATATTCAGTACACTTGGCTCCGTACTCAAGCTCATGAGGAAATTGTGAATATCTTTTTTTTTTTTAGAGAAGCCAACAAAGACTCCAGTAGAGAATTCTCAAAGAGGTAAGTTACAGATATTTGTTTGGAGCTTTTTTAAAATGATACACTAACTTGCAGTGGAATTGTTGATGCATTAACTGGGACCACTGGTCATGCTGCAGAAATCTAAGCAGAGGAGCACCAGTACACCTTACACATTTCTTTGCAGCTGGCAGTCTCATCAATCTCCCCTCACCCTCACTTTTTATGATTCTTAAACTCTTTCAAGTAACATCTGCAATATTAATGAAGCTGCTTCTTTCCAGATGTTGCAACAGAGCGCTTGAACCCAGTATTCCCAGAAGAACGCCATAAGAAAGATGCTAATGTAACCGTTGTAGAAGCTAAAGGTATGTTGTGCATTCAGCAGCTGGCCTGTTCTCTAACTACACAGGCCCACATTTTTTAATATTTTGTTTATAGGTCTATCATTAACTATGAAAAACTTTCAATTTCTTCTTACCACATTGACTTGCCCCTTAGAAATTCACAGATCATAAAAGACATTTTGCTTTCTGAAATCTTTCGGCTGGCGTTTCCAAAGCTTTTAAAAGGCAGCATATCTCTTTAACTTGTATTACCGTTGCCTTCTTACAATGCCATGGTGAGGCTTGTTGGTTCCCCATCTTGAAGATTTGAGCTTATTTCACTTTGACCTGCTTAACTAGGTGGTTGGTCTCTGTTAGACTTGCTGCCTTTGAGAAGAAGTAAATACTGCTAGATTACGAACAAGACTAGAAGCCCATGGAGGTGTCATGATGCTGCCTTTTACAGCTGTTTTTCTTAGAAGTTCTGTGCATGTCAAATGCAACTGGAAGTGGATAAAAGCCAGAATCTCATTTTTACCCCTAGAACCTGTTCAGAGTCTTGCCTACATCCTTATTCCCAGCATTCCTGTGCTGATTCTCCTGATGGTCTTTGCAGCCATCTTCTGTTTCTGGCTTTTTGCAAAGAGGTAAGTGACATTTTTCTGTAACAAGTGAACCCATGGTAACTTGTCCTGGCAATCCTTTTACAGCTAGCTTCAGGATCCTGTAATGCTTTCAGACAAATGCATGTTTAAAAAGTGGCATGGATACTCCAGGCTGAGTTACTTGTGAAGTAAAATTTGAAGTAAATCAAATTATGCCATTTTATTATGTTCACAGACATATAGTAGTTCGGGAATAGTGTAAAACAAGATTATGATTTTGAAGTGTTAGCACTTAAGTTTTCTTATTAAAGAAAACATTTAAATTATCAGAAGATCCCTTTCAAAAGTGAAAAATATAGTAATAGAAATAGACAGATATACATTTGGAGCAAATAACATTTACCAGTTTCCTCTCCCTGCTTTCCCTGTGTGCACAGTACCTCTGATGGGGATGCTGGCTGTGCTTTTGGGAGTGTCACTCTCGAATTTTGCTGCCTCAGCATCTCAGCTGGCAACAGGCGGCAAGGGGTATCTCAGCAGGTCCTGCTGTGGCACCCCCCAGGTGTCCTGCTGCCTCACACCTGGAGTGGCAAGTAATAACAAACATTATCCCGAGTCCAAGCTCTGAGAGTCAGCTTTCCTCAAGGGTCATCTTTAAATTGCTGTAAGAGAGGTGTGGTATTTTTTTGCATTTGCCTCTGTAAAAAAGCATATTATGATTTGTCCTCTTTCCTGCATCCCTAAGGAGACAGGAGCAACTAGATGCAAGCCCAAAGGAGGAAGATGCGTGGCTGTCTAACCCCAGGAGGAATAGTCCAAATCTGGATATTTACAAAGTAATCAAGAAGCAATCAGAAGCAGATCTGGCTGGAACCAGGCCTGACACTAAGAATGCTTCCTTCCGTACACAGGAAGATAAGGTGCTTGACAGCCTCTCCAGGGATTATGATGAGGCGGCAATGAATACATCAACGAGTGGCTTTGTGACACTGGCCAGTACTGAAAGTGGTTTTGTCACCAATGATATCTAGTAGCTGTGTGGAGATCGTGTAGAGAGGAGCAAGGAATCAGCCTGGGTGGAGAATGAGATTTATGGATATTAAGGAAATGGACAAAAAAAAAGCCTGGAATATGGATAACAAAGTGAATATCAATACAAGATAACCTGCCCTCCCTATGCACTTGTTTTAATAATAGTATATGTGATATTTATCCTGGTTTTCCATTGTCCCCATTGATGTTGGAGCTCTGGTGATTAAACATGTAAAGCCATATTTTGGCAAGGAAGTGTGTGCCCCGGTCTTTTGAGATGCTGGCTTCTTGAACTCAGGCAAAGTCAGCTGCAAGTGTTCAGCATCTCTGGAAGTTATTAGAAGGCGAGGTAATTTTGTAATGTCTTTTCTTTCACATCTGGGTTTAGTAGAGCATCCCAGCTGCAGTATTTTATGTACGGGAACAAGGACCACCAGAGGGCACGTGTGCTCCACAGCGTGTGCCGTTCGCTGGAAATGGCCTGGAGGAGCTCCTCTTCAGCAGGGGCTGTGGGAAGCACTTGAATCACTTTCATTGAGGCATAGCAAAAGCCATCAACGGCCGTTGAAGGCTGCTGGACAGAGAATGTTTTTGTGACGGCAGTTCCTCTAGCAGAGTTATTGAGAAATGTTTTTTTTTGTAACCTGAACTTTCAGGCCAAAAATGGCATTTGTGGTGTGCAGCGCAAGAAAGTTTGCGCAGAAGTTTTCTATTGCAAACACAAAATCTGACTTAATAATTGATTTTGGACCCCTTTGGTGAGATTTTACGTAGGTGAAAGTGGTCAGGAAGCGAATAAATATTTTATTACTAAAATTTTTATTTCTCATACAGTGACCGAGAATGAATATTTGGCAATATTTTGCACAATGTAGAAAAAGTTACTTTTAAAACACCAAGTTTGCATCATGCTAGAATTATTCTTTGGTCAGTGTTTCAGATTTCTGGAAAAAATGAAGCATCCTATAGAGTGAAACAGGAGTGAAGTAGCAGCTCAGGATGACACCATTTTCTATTCAAGTAGGATTATGGTAAGCTTGCTCACGCACCTGTCAATCATTTAAAAGGGTGGATGTCTGACTAACTCAAGTCATCAGTTAGTCATTGCCAGAACTTCTTAAGGGCATAAATAGAACAGTAACAGCACAGTTATTATCCATAGCAGTCTAAGTCAGCAGCGTCATCTCAAAATGTCATTCCTTAGAGGAACCTCATGAACTACAAGTGCAGTGAGGGACAAGCATTAACTTTCCACAGAGATCTTCAGTTCTTTTTGCAGAACAATCACTGCTTTTTGGCACGTAACAAATTTAACCAACTTCCCACAAGTATGAGGCAGCTTTACATGTAAGACCTGCATACAAAGGGAAAGCAAGAGACAGAAGTTTCTTTCTTGCAGACTGTCACTTGTTTTTTGGGGCCACACTCTGTTGTGAGCTGTGTTTGCATCCACTGCACTCTGTGTTCATAATAGGTCTGTGACTGTTGCTGAACATGCAGCTGATTCAACAGACAAGTGTGCTCTTGTGCCGTCAGCTTTTGGACATGCTTTGTCTGGTCAGGGGAACTGAGCAAAGCCTGGAATCCAAATG